GATGTATAACCAGGTAATGCATTCTCCAGCTCTTTTCCTCAGTGATAGGGAGGCTCCTTTTAGAGCACTCACTTGACCTCCTCCCTTGGTGTCTTGGACTTCTGCTCCAACACTCACAATGCATATTTCTTGAGTCACTGTCTCGCTTTACCCTTACCATCCACAGGTGCTAACTTGTCTCCCCTGGAATTGTGGGCTTTACTGGAATCTTGTAATATACTATTCAGTGCTACTTCCCTGCTCTCCTTCAAATCTCCTGTGTGCTGCTTGCATGACTGACGGTTTTTGTGGTTGCTTTGGGTATTACTGATTTTGTTTTTAGCACTCCTTCCCTTTAATTTAAACATTTCTGTTCTGTGAGTAATGTTGATTTATAAAAGACAGTATTATACAGCATAAAACACTAGAGGAAAGAACTTGGAAAATAGGACCTCCTGTCTGTCTTCTGTCGCCGCCCCCATCACTTCTGCATAGTCTTAATCTTCCCGTGTTTTAGACATGTGTCTTAGCTTAACTTAGAACTCTTAATATTTCTCCTGAAACCTGCTTCCTATATCTCACCCCAGGTCCCCCCATTCCCTGAGTGGTATCTGCATTCCCCAGTTGCTCAGACTCTTAATTTGGAGGCATCTTCGAGCCCTGTCTCCTCTCATACATTGCATTCTACCCACTAGCTTTGTACAGCCTCCACTTCCTCTCTTGACCAAGCGTTCATCTACTTGGGCAGTGGCCTTCTGAGGGCACTCTCGCTCTTCCACAGCTTGTTTCAGCATGGTAGCCAGAATAATCTTTTGAAAACACGAGTGAACTTGGTTGCCTCTTTGAACAAAGCCCTTCAATGGCTTCCTGTAGTACTGGAATAAGATGTGTGTTCTTACCATTGCCTATAGGACCAGACATCGTTTGGTTCCTGCTACTTCTATGCCTGTATCTCCTGCCGTTCTCCTCCTTGTATGCTTGGCTCTAGCTGGCTTTAGCTTTACTGGCCACTTTGTTTTTCCTCAAAAGTAACAAATTTTCCTTAGGATTATCATTATCATTGTTGCTGTCTGAAATACGTTCACTCCAAAATGCACCCTCAATCCCTACTTAATGTGTCATGTCTATGGAGAGACCTTGGCCATTCTGATCATTTCTAAACCCTCTCTATCATTTCATACCCCGACTCTTCTCTCCTTTGCTCCTTACCTTGCCTTAGTTGTTTTACTGCTCCCTAAATGCCTAAGAGTTCATTTCCTTGTGTATTAGCAGCACTGTAGTGCACCTTTCCCTAGAATGGAAATTCAACAAGGACACAGAATTTTCTAACTCATCTGCTGTGGGACATAGTAATACTCAAAATTTGAATACCTGGAGATGCAAATAAATTTAACCTTCAGGTGAATCGTTTCTCCTCCCCATATTTTGACTCCATATCTATAAAATGAAGGGCTTGCACAGAGTCCATGAGTATTTACTCCAACTTCAGATGATCATTCCCTTATAGTCACAAGTTTAAGGCTCTTAACTTTTCAAGTGATTTTTGAAGACACATTGCTCAAGCCAGTACTTGACAGCCACAGCACTTCTAGGAATTATATGACTTCTATTGCGCTCTCCCGGTGCACTTCCTTGTTTGCAACTTGACCAGTTGTATTTTCTAAGGTTATTATCCATTGTCTGCCTCATTGTATTATTATTTAAATTTCCTTATTATTATTTATGTATATGAGTAGTTTTGCTGTGTGTGTGTCTGTGTGTATGCCTAGTGTCCACGGAGGCCAGGAAAGAGCATCTGATTCCCAGGAACTGCAGTTATAGACTGTTGTAAGCCATCATGTGGGTACTAGGAATCAAACCCAGGCCCTTTGGACCAACAGCCAGTGCTCTTAACTTCTGAGGGATCGCTCTAGCCCCTCTTTGTATTATCCAATTAAATCCCCTTTCTACAGTTAAAATATCTTTTTCTGATCAGTCCTCATTTGAGCATTCATTGCCTGTAAGAAAATGTGATTTGAAGCATATTTCTTAGCCACGCCATTCTTGCTGTCCTCCACCTCTGTGAAATCCCCCTTCCCATCTCTTTCTCTGGATACATACATGTACATGTTAATTGGCTTGATGGATTTCTAAGTCATGGAGAAGACAAGAAAAGTAGATATAAAAATTAGTGTCTCGTTATGCTGTAGTTTTCCCAGCCAGGGTGTTGTGGCACACACCTGTAGTCTTAGTACTTAGGAAGTTAAGGAAGGCCAATGTGTGTGGTAGCTCACCCATGCACTGTGCACTCAGGTGGCAGAAGAGGTTTGCCACAAGTTCAAGGCCAGCTTGGGCTTCGAAGTGAAACCTCATCTTAAAAGAACAGAGGCTTCCGGGAGGCGGTGGTGATCTCAGCACTCAGAAGGCAGAGACAGGGTGATCTGATTTCAAGGCCAGCTTGGTCTACCGAGCAGATTCCAAAGCTACATAGAGAAACTCTCTGGAAAAACAAAGCAAAACAAAACAAAAACCCACCAGATGCTGTGGAGCCAGAGGGTGAGGGAGAATGAATGTGTTAGTTCAAGGGTATCCATGTTAAGACACTGTTTCAGAACAAAACATAAACAAATAAAAAGGTTTTCAGAGATCTAGAGGTTCATAGACTATAGGACAATGCCTAGAATTTGCCCTTTCCAACTCTTCATTGTCTGTTATCTTAGAAAAAAAAACTTAGGTAAATATCTTCCTTACTGCAGGACTTTTCAGAAACATCAGCAGAATAATGTAAAGATTCTTTAAGAGGGGAGATTAGTCTCCAAGTTTTATTTCACCACAGTATCTTTTTTTAAGCTTTATTTTTGCTTCTGGGTGATTATATGCCACTTTGTGGGTGCTTGAGGAGACCAGAAGAGGGTGTCAGATCCTCTGGAGCTGAAGTTACAGGCATTTATGGCCACTTCCTCCCCAGCATGGGTGCTAGGAACTGAAATCAGCAGGTTCTCTTAACTGGTGAGCCATCTCTCCAATCTTATATGGGAGACTGCTGTGCTCCGTGAAACATAGTTCTGAACATTTGCTAGGTACAAGCGTTGTTGTAACTATTTATGTGTCATTTTTTATGAAATAGACATTTATTCCTTAATATTTCAAGAAAATCTTCCTTTAAAAAATACGTTGTGGCCAGCCTGGTCTACCAAGGGAGTTCCAGGACAGGCTCCAAAGCTACAGAGAAACCCTGTCTCGAAAAACAAAAAAAAAAAAAAAATACGTTGTGGAATTGGGAAGACGATTCAGAGAAGTGGCTAAGAGCAGTGCGACTCTTGCTTAGGACCTGGGTTCAGTTCCCAGTACCTACATGACCGCCTATAATCCAGCTCCCCAAGATCCAGTGTCATCCTCTGGTCTGTGTAGGAACCAAGCATACAGTGGCACACAGACATGCATGCAGGGAAAACACCATACACATAAAATAAGCAAATATTTAAAAACATACATTGAAACTGGGCATGGTGGCATACACCTTTAATGCCAGACTTTGGGAGGCAGGCAGATCTCTGAGTTTGAGACAAGCATTGTCTACAAAGCAAGTTCCAGGATACCCAGGAATACAGAGAAACCTTGTCTTGAAAAAACAGCAAGAAGAAAATTGATTAAAGCAACAGCCAGAATGCTAGCATAAGTAAAAGACAATAAGGAGTATTGAGTGCAAAGTTGAAGACTACCAGAGGCAAAAGTCTCCAGAGTAAGGGCAGGGGTTTCCCCAGCAACAGCAGGACTTCACAGACAGTGGACTTTCAGGTAGTAACTGATATTAGCATCGCTGTATGTCCACTCAAGGTTAATGGACAGAGATGTTTTTAGACAAATGTTTGGCATACCCTACCCAAGAAGTTATCCAAAGGGCATTGTATTACTGGGAAAAGAAGGGAACCTAAAAGGAAAAGTCATAAGTAGTTCTAGGCAGAGTTAGTAATGATAATATTTTTGTGATATCTGAATATTTCAAAACTTAAGTAGCTGTGGAAGGGAGCACTGTCTTGTGAAGAGGATGTGTTGCTGAATAATTTTAACTGTAATCTTTTTTGAGGGGGAAGCTTTGGTTTTTGAGTTTTTGAGATAGGATTTCTCTGTGTAATGGTCCTGGCTGTCCTGGATCTTGCATTGTAGACAGAGATTCACCTGCCTCTGCCTCTTGAGTGTTGGGATTAAAAGTGTGAGCCACCACCACCAGGCTTTTAAGTGTAATTTCTTCCTAATAAAACCAAGCATAAGTAGCCAGGTGTGGTGGCACACACCCTTAGTCCCAGCACTTGAGAGGTAGAGGCAAGTGGATCTCTGTGGGTTTGAGGCCAGCCTGGTCTATGGAGGGAGTCTGCATCAGTCAGAGAAACACAGTGAGACCCTATATAAAGAGTTTTTAAAGTATATGTTTAAATACATATGTATTTACTGAGTATCACTCATGTGTTGAGCACTACTTAAGGCCCTGGAAATTAAACACTTGGAGACTATGCAAACCTTCATCTTCTTGGAGTTTACATTTCAGTGGTAAACTACACATTGTTTTTAAAAGGCACAACTAGCACAAACAGGTCTTGCTGGGAAAGAAGCAGTCTATGAAGAGGTGGTGGATGGGTAAGAAATAGCTGATGAACAGTGTTAAAGTGAGACAAAATGTAAGGTGAAAGAACATTAACAAAGCGAGACAGAAGGCTAGAGCATCCCCCTTACTAGCAAGATACAAAGTGACAGGTGACAGGATAAGAATTGGCAGGCTCACAGTCATTGGAGTGTCTAGTGTATCTCTGCTAAAACATAAGAGGTGTACAGAAAATTAGTCAGGAATATAAAAGATTGAGGTCGCAGAGATGGCTCAGCTAAGAGTGCTTGCTGCTCTTTTGAGGATCCAAGAAAATTATCCATAGAAATGAGGATGCTAAGTTTGTAACTTGATTTCACTCTTGTCTGTTGTGTTTATAATTTCTATACTTGCCTTTAAATAGATACACATATGTAAGGTGATTTCCTTTCCCTCCCTGTAGGTTACTCAGATGAGTCGTCCGGACCTGATTCTCTTTCTGATGAAGTATCTGATGGCTCTCATAGTCGGGATTCCCTCTATATTTTGGGTTGGAAGCAAAAAGACCTGCTTTGAATGGGCCAGTTTTTTCCATGGCCGTAGGAAAAAAGAGTAAGTTAACGAGTTCTCATAGTATTAATAGCCCTTGTGCGCACGCATTTGTGTGTGCGTACGTGCCTGCGTGTTGGACTGGGAGAAGTATTGTAACAAGATTGTGACTATCAGCAGTGACTAGTAACATTCAACACATAGCATGACTTTAAAATGAAAATCTAGCTGGACACAGTGGCACGTGCCTATAATCCTATTTATTGGTTAGGCTGAGGTGGGGGATTAGGAGTTCGAGGCCAGACTGAGCAAGAAAGGAAGACACCATCTTAAATAAAAACAAACATAGACAACTCAAAATTTGATTTTGGTTGAGTAGAGCCATACAAATGCTTCCTTGTTCTAATCTTTAATAAGGAAGGAAGGCCAAGCATTGCAGAACATTTAAAGTATGAATTTCTTGAAATTGAAAACAAATGGATGTTTTTTCTCTTCCTGTTTACCTGGCCTTCCTTACGCCCTTGTGAAGGTTGGTGTGTATTCTCATCTCTTTTCACATGAGAAAACTAAGAGCAGCTTGAATAATTGGCCACAGCCACACAGCTGTTCAATGTAAGAGGTAACTTTAGCTTCTATTTGAGGTTCTCCGTTGCTTTTCCAGGTCTCTCAAACATGTGAAGAGATAGACTGTTGCTCCATTCTAATTTAGTGCACATTAGAAGTTTATAACCTCAATTTCTTTCTTTTATTTAATTGTAGTATGAAGCTATTAAGAAAGTTAATTAAGAATAATGGTAATAGATAGCAATATTCCTGATTTTAATGAAAATATTTCTAGTTAGCCAGGTGGTGGTGGCACACACCTTTAATCACAGCACTTGGGGGGCAGAAGTAGGCCCGTGTCTGAGTTCAAGGCCAGCCTGGTCTACAGAGTGAGTTCCAGGACAGAGAAATCTTGTCTTAGAAAAAAGGAAGACTATTGGTTCTTGGTGTTTTCATTAAATAGGATGCTGCTTTTGAAGAAGACATGTTTTCTCTGTAAGAACTTACTCATATCTATTGATCATCTATTGTAACTTTAAATGTCAAGAATGCATTAAGTGGATTAGAGGAAGAAGTGTAAAGTACTCATCAATTACCTATCTTCCGCCTGTCAACCCAGTACCATAAACAACAGGAAATTTTAACAACCCTGTTAATTCAAAAACTTACACATACTTTCTCAATATACGATGAAGTCTTTACATGTTGGGGTTGCTTTTTTTTAATTAAGTCATTTAATTTTAACTTTAACTGATTCTCACAGACATTTTACAATGATTTAATTAGATTTTTGTTAATTCAATTATTGCTTTGTTCATCATAATACACATCTGTCTACTACACATCTATCTACTGTCCATCCCTTCATAACATTTAAAAGCCTTTACTTTTGATAATTTGTCCCTTTAAATTGTTTATGACTTCATTGAATATTTGCTTAATTTAATTCTTCCTAATACTTTGTCCTAAGGTTGACCACTCAGGTTTGTTCTAACACTAGATGACTATTCCTGCCACCGAGTCAAGATGGGGCCTTAAACTGCTCTTGCAAATTAAAGTTGTATCCAGTTACCGTGAAGTCTTATTACTACTGCAAAGCATGAAAGAAAACTTTTCTATCTTATAGTTATTTTTTAAAGTATTTTGGAACCTAAAAAAAATGATGGGTGTCATTAGCTGCAAGGGACCTTTTAGAAATAACCTGTCACCCTTTATTTCATAGATAAAATGAAGGAAAAACAGGATAGTAACTTGCTGAGATCACCTGTGTGCTTACAAAATTGGAACTACAACTACAATCTTGATTTTCTTACTCTAACACAGGCTGTCTGTCACACCACTTTAGGGCAGAATGGCATTGGGTTTGTTTTGTTGTTGTGTTTAGATATAAGGTCTTATGTAGGGTTGGCTGTCTTTGAACTTGAAGATAACCTTGAGCTTCTGATCCTTCTATCTCAGCATCCCAGATGCTAGGATTACTGGCCTCAAGCCCACTTTTTGACAGAGATTTTTGTTGTATTCTATTCTCTGCCAAAAATGTTACCGCAAATTGGTCCTAAAGACATAATTTGGGGAACAATTAATTTCAAGACTGGCACCAACCAGTACTGCATACCAGTATTGTTGTTGATCTGTAGGACTGTTTGTATCTTACACTTCCTGTTGTGTGTGTAGGATAGTGAATGAGAGCCGGCAGGTGCTCCAGGAACCCGACTTTGCCCAATCGCTCCTGAGGGATCCAAATACTCCTATTATAAGAAAATCAAGAGGAACTTCCACTCAAGGAACATCCACACATGCTTCTTCAACTCAGCTGGCCATGGTGGATGATCAAAGAAGCAAAGCAGGGAGTGTGCACAGCAAAGTGAGCAGCTACCATGGCAGCCTCCACAGGTCACGTGATGGCAGGTAAGTTCTGGGAGCAACTTAGTTTATTATCTGTATTCAGTTAGGATCACAATAGTTCAGAGACAGTCAATTCTGAAATAGAAGTGGAACATTATTAAGCTTTTTAAATTTTTCTGGTTATAGTTGTCCCAGATTATGGGACTTAAAGCCAATCAAAGGGCTTTGGAGCAGCATGGTGTTACTGTTACACAGAGAAACCCTGTCTTGAAACCCTCCCCCCACTAAATAAATAAATAAATAAACAAATAAATAAATAAAAGAATGTGGATCTGGGGAGCTCTAGAGATGGTTTTACAATTAAAAGTATTTGCTGTTCTTCCTCTGAGTTCAGTTCCCAACACCCACATCAGAAGCTCCAAACCACCTACTACTCCAGCTCTAGAGGATCCGACACCTCTGGCCTTCATAGGAACCTGCACTCACAGGCACACACCCACATGCAGGCACGCACATACACATATGAGAAAAATAAAAGGCAGTCTTAAAAAGAGTGAAGATCAAGGATGATAAAACTTAGTTTCCTTACGTATAAAGGAGAAATAACAATAGCTACCCCTTTGTTAATGTCATAGAAATTCAGTGAGACAATGTGCCAGTTCGCTAGAAACACAGCCTGTCTCAGAGTCAGAGAGAAGTTCAGTTATTATGTAAGTAAGCACATAAGTAAAGTATAAGCATAAAACAAAATATAGCCCAGGGCTGTGCAAGTGCATTCTTAAGGAGCCAGACAGTAAATGCTTTAGGCTTTTTAGTTAAAGTGGCAGCACTGCTCAGACCTGCTGTGACAGTGTGCACTCAGACAAGCTGCATCTCAGTAGCCTTAGTTATAACCTGAAGGAAGCAGAGGCGACATTAAGTCAGTTTGTCAGCCTACTATTGTGTGGGGTGCTGGGGTTCAAACCAGGGTGTGAGCATATTAGATAAGGATTTTCCCACTGAGCTACATGCTAGTACCCAGCACCCAGCCCTTGTTTATTAGTGCAAGCAGAGACTAGAGTGACTCTGATACCATGGAGAGCAGTTCAGAGACGCTTCAGAGAGAACTTAAAGGAAGCCTGGCTGTGGGATCTCATTAAATTTGGGGTTGGGATAGTAGAGCTAGAAACTGCTTACGAGCTGCCACATGAAGTCATTTGAGAGATAACAAGCATTTATCAGAGAACAGAGAAGCAGTGGGGAGAGAGGAACAGCTGACTTGAAAGACAGATTTTTTTTTAAGAAAATAAACGTAAGTGTTGGAAAAATGGGGAGGAGATGGGATGAGCATTGCTGGGGAGGTTATAAATTTTTCCAGCCACTTGGAAATCAGTATGGAGGCCTCTCAGAACACAAAAAATAGAACTGCCTCATGACTCACCTACATATTCCTGAGAGATACCCAAAGGGATCTAAGTCAGCATAATGTAGAGATACTCTCTGCCTTAGTTACGTATTTTATTGCTGTGAAGAGACACCATGACCATGGCAACTCTTATAAAGGAAAACATTTAATTGGGGCTGGGTTACAGTTTCAGAAGTTCAGTCCATTATCATCATGGTGGGAGTATGGCAGTGTGTGGGCAGACATGATACTGGAGAAGGAGTCCTACATCCTGCAGGCAACGGGAAATAGACTGTGACACCAAGCAAAGCTTAAGCAGAAGAGACCTCAAAGTGTGTCCCCACCATGACACACTTCCTCCAACAAGGCCATACCTACTCCAACAAAGCAGACTTCCTAGTAGTACCACTCCCTGTGAGCTTATGGAAGACAGTTACATTCAAACTACCACACCCTCTACCTATGCTTATTGTACCACTGTTCAGAATGGCCAAGTTGTAGAATCAGCTTAGATTTTCATCAACAGATAAACATATAAACAAAATATAGTGCAAGTGCACAGTGAGATTTTATTTAGCTATAAAGAAGGTCATTCTTTTGCAGGAAAGTGAGTGGACCTGCAGATCATCATAGTAAATGGAATAAGGTAGATTCCAAAAGATCACTCTTTTCCCCTCTTATGTAGAGCCTGTAGAGTGTGCGTGCGTGTGTGCATGCGTGCATATGGTCAAAATGTGTATGAGCTGCTTTAGGATCTCAGAGAAGAGCACCATCTACCTCATCATGGACAGTCAGAAGCAGCTTCCCAACAGATGGCACTTCTGCTTTAGAGTTCAGAGGGAATGAATGACAAGGGAACAGCATGCACAGAAACAAGAACAGGCAGATATGTCTCAGTGCCTAGTGTGTATTGGGACTTCTAAGAGATGCAACCATGCTAAGGGTTTAGGTTTCTCTGACAGTGAAGAGGCCGTTGCAAGACTTTGAGAGCTAGGGTAATAAATTCTGGTTTAAATTTTAGAACAGCATGAGAAAGAGTATAATAAAGCTCTTGATTTGGGGTCTTCATGTGAGATGCTGACAAGGAGTTAGGGAATCCATCTTTTGGAATGCACTTTATCCATGAACTCCTGGTGATGTCATTGACATCCTAGCCTCATCCTTTTCGTGACAAACAGACATTATTATAGTACTGTGTCTATATATGACATTCTGTGCATAAAAATAAAGGAAGGCTTTAATTTCTACATCCTAAGAGCATGGAACCTTATAGAAAAGGTGCAATATATATGCATGAAGTAGGGTGATGTGGGTGGGGTCTATTGAAGGCACATAGGACTCTCCCACACCCAGAGCTGGAGAGCAGATCTCAGAGGTTCACGATTACATTGAAACTAAAGTCTAAACAAAGATTTCCATAATCCAAAAGCCATCTCATGAAGACTTCCTTCTGCTTCAGCCAGGCTTCACTGCATGATAGTGCTGTCTGCGACCATCTCAGTATCTCAAGGTACCCTGGCCTGGGTCACAGATTCCAAGTACTCACCTGGATTCTCTACTTGGATAATTATTGATCTCTGTACTATGTACACCTACATTTAAACATCACTTCAAAGAATAAGTAATTGTTAGTTAGATGAGAGGATAGCTGGCAAAGAAGTCAGGAGGTAGAAGTTTGGGGATGAGTGACTAGATTGGTACGTAGGTGACCTGGCAGAGGAGAGCGATGGGGTAAATAATAACGCACTACTGAAACTGCCATTGACTTAATGTAGATGAGTGGTAGTCAATAGTAAAGAGAATCGGTGTGTAAACCATCGCGTTCCCACTGACTCTGCAGTGCCCACATTATATTTTTACAGCAATGGCAAAAGTGACCATCCTGATAATTTGTCTAAAAATCTATAAAACTATGTTTTATATACAATGCTGTATAAAATTTGTATTTTCATATTGTATAGTATATAATCACATTGGTTTAAGTGGCTTTTGAAAGATACAGAAATTTGACAATTCCTACATATATAATTTATATTAAACATTGTAATTAAACTTGTTTTCTGTATAGTTAATTCTTATTTATTCATGAGCAGAGTATGTTTTAGAATTCTGTGGATAGTCATGTTTATCAGATATAATTATACAATGTAATTTTTCCTCTGAAAATGTGTTATTTGGAGGGGGCAGAGATAGTTCAGTCCTAAGGGAAGAGTTCAATCTCAACAGCACACATAAAAATGTCAGGTACAAGGGGCTGGAGAAGTGGCTCAGTTGTTAAGAGCACTGACTGTTCTTCCAGAGGACCTGGGTTCAACTCCCAGCACCCACATGGCAGCTCACAACTGTCTGTAACTCCAGTTCCAGGGGTTCTGGCATCCTCACACATACATGCAGGCAAAATACCAATGTACATAAATTAAAAATAAAGTTTAAGAAATGTTAGGTAGGCCAGGCCGTAGTGGCGCACGCCTTTAATCCCAGCACTTGGGAGGCAGAGGCAGGCGGATCTCTGTGAGTTCGAGACCAGCCTGGTCTACAAAAGCTAGTTCCAGGACAGGCTCCAAAACCACAGAGAAAACCCTGTCTCGAAAAACAAAAAAACAAAACAAAAAAAAAATGTTAGGTACAAATGGCACAGGATTGTAATTCACACTAGAGAAAGATTTTACTTTTATTTATGTGTGTGTATATGTGGGATAGAAGAAGATGTCAGATTTCCTGGAGTTGCAGGCAGTTACAAGCTGCCTGATGTGGGTGCTGGGAACTGAACTCCAGTCCTCTGGAAGGCCCCTTTGTATATTTTAAATGACTGAATGTTCTCTGCTCTCCTTCCTTCCACCCTTTTCCTCTTTTCCTCTCCTCCCTTTCTCTCTTTCCTTTCCCTTCCTGCTTAAACCCAGGGCCTTGCACATGGTAAGCAAGTACTTTACTATTAACTGTCATTCCCAGCCACCCCTTTGTAGTGTGTGTGTGGTGTGTAGTTTGTGCTTGTATATGTATATGTACATGTGTGTATACAATGTATCAACATCGGATGTCCTTTTGATATGGGGTCTCTCACTGAACCTGGAGCTCACGGATTTGGTTAGTCTAGCTGTCACTGGGCTCCAGGAACCTGTGTGTCTCTTCCTCCCCAGCACTAGGGTACTGGTTTACATAGCTTTGCCAGCTCTTGTGAGGTTTCTGGACATTGAACTCGGGTCCTCCTGCTTGCACAGCAGATTCTTTACCTATTGCACCATTTCCCCCGCCTCCCTGTCCCATTTTTTTTGGAGATGGTATCTTGCTACATTGCCTAGGCATGCCTCAAAATTACCAGTCTTCCTGCCTCAGTCTCCCAAGTAGGATTACAGATATGCACCACTACACAGGACTTGTTTTTTTTTTCAATTACTTTCTATCATTACTAGAACATTTGTTTTTTTATTTGCGATATTTATTTGATATTGATATTTAGGAAACTATTGAAAGGTAAAAGTTGGCAAGTCATATTTGATATTAGAGAATCTATTTAGTTTGAAGAACAATAATCATTTTGCAAAGTAGTAATTTTAAAATAGATTCTAACAAGCCCATTATGACATATGTGCATTTGCAAGCATTCCAATTATTCTATCAAAACATACAGTAAAAATGTAAATGTCTCAGCCGGGCAATGGTAGTGCACGCCTTTAATTCCAGCATTCAGATGGCAGAGGCCGGAGGATCTCTGTGAGTTCAAGGCCAGCCTGGTCTACAAGAGCTAGTTTCAGGACAGGTTACAAAGCTACAGAGAAACCCTGTCTCCAAAAAAAAAAAAAAACAAAAAAAAAAAAAAAAAAGGAAATGTCTCTAGGTTCTAAATGTAAAAAAATAAATACATAAATTGAAGTGTTTGGAAACAGAGTAGGGTCTCTTGATGCCCAGGTTGACTTTGAAATTCGTTATGTAGCCAAAGCTGAGGGATCTTTCTGCCTCTGCCTTCCTGTTTCTGTGATTACAAACGTGTGCACCATGCCTGGCTGAAGTGTTTACTTGACGACACAAGCTAGGGTCATTTGGAAAGAGAGACTCTCAGTAAAGAAAATGCCTCCATAGGATTGAACTATAGACAAGCTTGTCAGGCATTTTCTTGATTAATAATTGATTAGGGGAAGGCCTAGTCCACTTTTGGTGGTGCCTCCCAGGCAGGTAGGTGTTGTATAAAAAAGCAGGCTGAGCAAAGGATGAGGAGTAAACCAGCAAGCAGTGTTCTTCCATGGCCCCCACACCAGTTCCTAGCTCTAGTTCCTGCTTTGAGTTCTTGCCCTGATTTCTCTGGATGATGAAATAACCCCCTGATCTTGGTGTTTTATCACAGCAATAAAAATCCTAGATAGCATCTTTATTAATTTTTCCTGTTGCCCGTCTTTGTCTCCTCCATGAGTGAGGAACTAAAGGTGTGTGCCATCGTGTTTGGTCCCTAAAATAGGTTTTTAAATGACTGTTTTCAAAGGACTTCTCTATGTTAAACTCTGAAGTTGAATGAAGATGTCCATTGGCAAGTACTACTATAAAATTGGATGGCCACCTCAGCAGTGTTCATGACATTCTTTCAGATCTTTTAGTTTTACAAATAGCTCACCTTAAGTCATGCCATATTTTAATAGGGTAGGAAAGTGATTTTTTAAAGTGGTAGCTAAGTTTTCAGCTGCTTATAATGATTTATTTTTGATGACTGTTAGGAAGGGAATGAGCTGGACATGGTAGCACACACCTTAAAACCTAGTTCTTGGGAAGCTTAGGCAGGAGGATCTTTATCAATTCAAGGCCAGCCTAGTCTACTTAGTGAGCTCGAGAACAGCCAGAACCACTTAAAGACCTTGCCTCAGAAAGAAAGAAAGAAAGAAAGAAAGAAAGAAAGAAAGAAAGAAAACGCGGGGGTCAGGAGAGGTGAAACTGGGGTCATTACTCCTTTTAAGTTTCATTGCCTGATATGCCCAAAGCCTTACTTTAATCCCCATCACTACAAGCAAAGCAGAGAGACAAAAACCAAAATAGTTTGCAATGTTCTGAGTTTTTTTTTCTTTGTTTTGCGGTGCTAGGGATGAAACCCATGGACTTATATCTAGACCAGCCCTGTACAATTTTGCTGCATCCATCCCTTGCCCTTGGTGTTTGAAGCAGGGTCTTACTGCGTTGCTCAGGCTGGCCTTGAACTCAAAATTCTCGTGTCTTATCATCGTGAGTGCTGATATTATAGGCCTAACAATCATTCCTGGCCCTGTTTACTTTTAGAAACATTATATTTAGGCAAGGCTTGTAGTCCAGGGGCTCTTAATCCTGTGCTGTAAAAGCAAACAAAAGCAATATGTTCATTAAAGTCAACAAGTATGTATACTTAGTTCTCTTTTAATTTTATTTTCCTAAAATGTGTTTTCCAAAAGTTTATGAGTATATGAATAAAAAATATATTAGAAAAGGTGTATGGTGGCACACATCTTTAATCCCAGCACTCGGGAGGCAGGGACAGGAAGATCTCTGTGAATTTGAGGCCAGCCTGGTCTACAAAGCAAGTTCTGGGACAGCCAGGGATACACAGTGAAAGAAACCCTGTCTCGAAAAATAAAACAACAACAACAAAGCATTTTAGAAAAAAATTTCTCGAAGTACTACAGACTAAGACATAAGATATGGTACTTATCCTGAAAGAACTCACTGTTTAGTCAGAAAGATTGGTAAATAAATGCATCAATTAAAAAAAAGTTTAATTGTTTTTCATGGCCTTGACTGGCCAAGAGCTAATAACTTCAAATTCCAGTGGCTGAGGTTGGTTTTTTTCATGGTCATTGTTTTTTGCATCTTTATGTTCTTGCCTCTGGTGTGGTTTGTTGATTGGGATTGTGACAAAAGACAATTTGATCAGCCCCCAGTTGCATTTCTGGGTAGAGTACCTAGAGTAAGCTGTGTAGGCCCAGCTCTGTGTAGAGACCAGCTAGGGGCACAAGGATTTGCTGATGAGAGTATTGTTTACAGGGTGTCAGGATGCAAGTAGCAAGTAGCTATACCTTCTACAAATTACCATCTTCACAGCTTTAGACCCTGAGGAAAAGAGTGAAGATCACTTACAGATTTGACTGATCCGCTGTTAACTAGCACGTCTAGACGCTCTGGGCACAGATGTCACCATCGCTTAGCATCTCCCTCACTGATGTCTGAGTCACTCTTCAGTTCTGTGATTTTGTGTTTCCTCTTCCAACCCTAGTCTTTAGTAACATTGGAGTCTGCACCACTGTTAACTGTAGCTGGTCTGATAGAGTCTGAGGGCAGTGCCTTATTCCCTCTCTTCATGTCTCTGAGTCTGCTATTTGACACATACTGGAGTAAGAACAGTACCTGCACCTAACATAGTTCCAAGTGGGTCAGCCTTGCTTAGTTACCGTTTGCCCCTTTACAGGAAATAAGACCTTCATCCTGAACCTAAGTAGATTCTCTCCGTTAGCCACCTCAGATAATTCTACAGCATTATGAAATCCTGTCATTTATTGCTTTCTCACCGTTGACTTACTGAGCACATCAATTACTAAGGCATTTTAATGAAAATTACTAGTGTTACTCTCTGGTGTGTTCGGTTACTCACTACAGAACCCACTGTCCTATGCAGGTACACTCCCTGCAGCTACCGAGGAGTGGAGGAGAGACTACCTCACGGCAGCATGTCCCGCCTGACAGATCACTCCAGGCACAGCAGCTCTCATCGGCTCAATGAGCAGTCTCGACACAGCAGCACCCGAGACCTCAGTAACAACCCCATGACTCACATCACACACGGCACCAGCATGAACCGTGTTATCGAAGAGGATGGGACCAGTGCTTAGTCTTGTCTATGGTGACAATGTGTGCTATTGGAAAGCAGGTTTTAATCTTTGCCTTCGCATGGCTGGCTCCTGTAACTCGCTGTCTTCCTGCTTTCCCTCAGGCAGAGTGTGCCCACTGAGAAGGTAGAGCTTTGCTTTTTGTATCACATCAAACGTGGAGCGTAAACACAGCCGAAACGTTAAGAGTCATGTCATCACAAAAATAATTCTTTCTAGGTTGTGAAGAGATGATTGTCTGGTAAGCATTTTTATAAACCCACTTATTTTATATCTAGAAAAATCCTATATGTGTGGTGACTGCTTTGTAGTGAACTTTCATATAATATGAACTAGTTGTGAAATGACATTCTGGTAGCTCTGTTAATAAAACAAAGTTTCAGAATTAAAGAATATTTCTATGCAAGGCTTATTTCTCAGATGAATACTAGGACTTTGTAGGTTTGTTTCCACTGGGTGAATAAAAGGAGCCGGTTTTTTTAAGCTGTAGAAGACTGTGATAAGCCAGCAAGGGTATTTAGCTAGTAGATAAAAGTGCCAGAAGAGTCCAGTTGGCCTGTGGGAGGTTCTCTCAAAGTCTCTCACTCTTCCCCAGAGATGTTCAGGATGTGGATTAGCGCTGGAGTAAAGGCAGAGATGAGCATTTCCCTGGAGTCGTATTGTTTTTTCACTTTTGTAAATATTACTTTTATGGGCTATGTTTTTATAATATCCATATGCATGATAGAAAAGTTTTAGTTTGTGACCATCTTTTCCCAGGTAATTGTATTGATTCATAGACAACTTCATGTTCAGACATGTTCTGTGGAGGCATGCAGTAAGATAAGCATCACACATTATAAGGGTTTTTAGTGGTAAAAAATTACAAAATGGCGAAATATTTTCTCTGTATTCGTTGTTGTATTTTTCTACAGTGAGATGTGACCTTGCCAAAGCCATCAGACATTGGTATCCAGGCCCTCCTATAGTGAGCTGATTGTCTGCCCTCAAATTCCTCAGTAGCCAGTTGGCTACCACTTTTGCCCCATATCCCCATTTTCAGTTTCTAAATCACTGTTTACATCTGAAATATATAATCTAAGTCTAAAGTGGTGATTAATTTGGGTTCTTGAAAATCATTGTGGCTAAATGGAGCATGGTTATTCTTTTTGTGAATACCTTTTCATCTTAAAAATATCAAGTAAAAAACACTTGACATTTTATCTTATAAAACTTAAATGGCTTAGGATATGAACTGTGAAGTTTATTGGGTATGAAACTAATCAGAAAGAAAAATTCTGTAAAATGCTAATGTGTTATTCAGAAACAGTGATGCTCAGCCCTGATTGCAGATAAGACTCCCTCTGGGAACTCTTGTTAGCCAGCATCTTTCTCTCGGACGAGAGTTTATGCTTTAAAAACACAAAAGCTTTCCAAGTGATTATTAGCAGCCAGACTTGAAGCCCATTCTCCCAAGCTCGCTGTCCCCAATGATGGGCTGATGGCGTCACATCTGATCATGGGAAGATCCATCCAGACTCAGTGATACACTTTACATTGTTACCTAATATACATACTGTTGTTTCTACTTTATTATCCATTATAAAATGCAGAATTCTCAGCTCTCATCCTTGAAGATTCTTACTGAGTAAGTCAAGGGCAGTAGGAGTTCACAAGTTTGTGTATCTAAAACACCACAGAAGATTCTTAGCAGGGTATCCAAGAATCACATTCAGAAAAAAAAAAATATTCTAGACTCTGGAGAGAGAGGCATGGCTTTGCCATATGCTAGCTTTCAACTTTGAACAAGTCAGCCTCCTTGAGCCTAGCTCCCCTTGTTTGAAAATGAAGAATGAAGATGAATATCTACTCTACCTACCTCACTAAGTTATCAGATTAAGATCAAATGAAAACAACCACATGGAAGCTCTTTGAAACTGTGAAGCATTGTGGAACATGAGATTAAGGTTTCTGAGAACTTAGAGCTTTATTAGAGGTCTACTGTAGTACATTTCTTGACACATGTTTAATTCATGTGTACGCTTCTTTCACCCTTTAAAGTTAAGAGTTCCCACCTGACAGAAGAGCCAGTTTTCTGGTCGTCATGACTTATTTGTGTCATGCTGCTTCTTCAAAGCATATATCAGTAGACATTACCCATTCTTCATAAGACACATTTGAGCACGTACCCCAAATGGTTTCTCTTCCTCTGACCTCCTGTCTTTCTCCTTGGAACTGGAGTTACCACTCAGAGAGGCCTGAAGTTTCTTATAACGATAGTCAGTAAACCTTTCCTTAAGCCTTACAAGGCACAGCTGATAACTTGTCTATAAATAAGCCAGTAACTCAGGAAGCTTCTGCTTGAGAAGCTCTATAGAACAGCATGAGCAAACCACAACAAATATCCACAAACAAAAACAGGAAGTTAAGACAGAAATACCAGTTTGAGCTCAAAGATGTCGTCGTCTGCCACCATCTGCATAATACCAATTGCCAAGTGTTAATTGGGTGTCTTTTCCAGTGAGCCAAGTGTAGACAGTGACGTGAACATTGCTATAAAAGTCTTACCTTTGTGCTTCCAGATAGTGTGTGTATTTGCATCTCCTCTAAGCTGGTGGTGATGTGTATGTGAATGTTGTTGGCCTACAGTCAGCTTCAACAAGTACCATTGTTCACTTGTTCTATACAATCTGCATAGTATTGTTAGTGTTAAGTAACACTGTTCAGTTTGGGTCATGTTCTTTATGTGCTCCATGTTAGGAATCTTTTTTTTTTTTAAAAGACTGTTGAAGAACTATAGCAGAACAGTGATTTCAAATCTTTACCTGTTTAAATTGACTTGAACAAGTCTGGACAGTTTTTACCATATGGGTAACTTTAATTTCTGTTCTGATTGGCATATGTTAATACTTAGTGTTTTCTTTGTTCAGTTGACCACCAAGAAAATGATAGTTCCCTCTAAAGTATTAATATGTTATCAAAAGTGTTCTGAAAAGTACTTTGATTTTAGCAATATTGTTTTATTCATGATTGGGCAAAAGATCCAAGGCAATATTAAGCTCAAAACAGTAATTTGTTTCAGAGGCAATGGATGAATAACAATTAGCACAGGACTTCGTACAGCATAAGCTTTTCAGTAAATGTTTAATGAACAGCTAACTCATAACACTAATGTGGACCATAACAGTTGTTTATATATGTTTGTGATTTTTTTTTAAATCTGTGTAAAATAAGAATTCTTGGATTTCACACAGAAACACAGGAAATAGAAGTTTTCTAGAACCTAGGTTTATACATAAACTCATGATTCTTTTAAACTTCTTTTAGACTTTTTGTAACCAGTTAAAATGAGAAAAGCTTGGGTTTGGAGAAATGGATGGTTCCGTGCTTTAGTTCGCTGCTCTTCCAAAGGACCAGAGATCAGTTCCTGGCACCCTCGTCAGGCCTCTGTGGGGCTCCAGGATGAATAAGGCTCTCCTCTGGCTGCCTTTGACACCAACACACTGTAGCAGGCACACATGTACACATAAATTCAAAGTAGAGTAATTTATTTTTTTCTGAGACAAGGTTTCTCTGCCTCCTGAATGCTGGGATTAAAGGTGTGTATCACCACCACTCAGCTTGATTATAAAATCTAAAAGAACCTAGAAAAACTGAGTAGAATTTTTCTGTTTCATCATTACTTTTTGATTGCCTCCTCACATTCATTGAACAAGGGTAGCTGTCACATTGCCTCAGAAAAGTGATAGCCTGTTTTAAAATATCAGGATTGGGATTTAGCTCAGCAATAGACAGGACCCTGGGTTCACTTCCAGCCTTGAAAACAAAACTCACAAAATATTGTTAGAGATAAATGTGATTTGTTATTATAAATTTGTCCTGGCTTTGCAGAAAATATTAGCATAAATTCCTTAATTATCGCTAATAGGGCCAGTGAGATGACTCAGCAAGCACAGGCGCTTGCTGCCAAGTCTGATGTTGAGTTCCAGCTGAGATTCATATGATGGAAAAAGAGGGTATCGGATCCCCTGAAAGTGCAGTTACAGAGGATTGTGAGCCAGTATGTGGGTGCTGGGACTCTAACCCCAGCCCTCTGAAAGACCAGCCAGTGTTCCTAACCACCAACCCATCCAGTTACTTTAGAGATCATTTTCTTTGCTCTGACTGTCTATATCGGATATAATGTCTTGAATGCTTTGGACTGTAGATTTACAGTGCACCATTGGGTTTGAAGTCTGGCGAGTACATAACATTAGAAAGTAGATTAGGTTGGTGTGCTGGTTTCTAGTGTTTTGTTTTTTAACTATGACAACTTTGTAGCCCCCACCCACATTGGTTCTGGTGAACAAGCCTAAGGCCTTGCATATGCTGGGCAGTCATCCTACCACTCAGCTTCTGGTAGCGTTTCCTTAGCTATACTTGATTCCTTGTCTTAGGGCTTTCACTGGCTTACAGTAACTAAATTAGTTGCTTCAGTCTTTCACCCAAAGATTCCTGTTATACCCCTCATAACGACATTTTAGTCATTTTTAGTTAAGAAACACAAGGGAGCCCAAGGCAGGAGGATCACAGGCTTCAGACCTGATTTAGACCTCCTGTCCATATTGTAGTGGTCCCTAGGGTCATATCACTTAGTAACAAAACAGACATGTGATTGGGTGAGTGCATGCTACGATGTTGCAAAGTGACCCAGTTGCCTAGCAACACATTTCTCAAATGTAGCCTGCCATTAACCATGACTATTATAATTTTTTAAATTGTCTCTCAAAACAACACATTTATTTTCAGGTTTCCTGCTAGGTCCTTGTTGTTGTAGATATTGAATCTGAAGTTCAGTTTCAGTGAATATTTGGAGGATTTATTGTGAGAAGATGTAAGAAAAACCAAGTAACCCTAGAGTGGTTTATAGTTATTCATCTTGTAGTATTCTGTTTGTTTAGCTGTTTCTTCTACCCTCAGCTTTGGAAAGCTGGCAAATTGCTTCCCTCAGCTCTGTCTCAGATCATTTTCCAGAACTAATCCTGTCAGCAGAAATATTTACTATGAAATCTTTTTTTTTCTTTTTTTCTTTTGTAAGAGAAAATCTACACAGTAGGTTTTTACATTGAGCTGAAATGAAGATGCCTTGAAAATAATGTAAGTGTGAAAATATTTAAGTTTGGTGGCACACACTGGAATCCCAGTCTTTGAGAGGTGAAGACAGAAGGATTATAAGTTTAAGGCCATCCTGGGCTGCGTGGTAAAATCTAGGCCAACCTGAGCTACATAGTGAGGCTGTATCTCAAAAACCAGGTAGAGAGGAGAAAAGTGTTCAGTGTCGGGAAGTTCTCTCATCAATGGGTATTATTTCTTATATATTTTAGCCATGGATTGAAATAAATCTGAATTCTTTTTCATTTATCCTTTTATAGTATTCCAACTTTCCCCAAACCCTCCAGCTTCTCATGTTTTATGTTTTATTATTTCCACTAGTACTAGGTCCTTGTGTATACTAGGCAAGTGCTCTAACTCACCAGGTTTTGGTCTTTTGTATCAAGTATCAAGACTTCCCATTTAGTCCAGACTAGCCTAAAACTTGCAGTCTTGCTGCCTGGGCCTCCTACTCAAGATTGCAGGCATGAGCCACCCATCACATAAGACTTTTCATGTGCTTAACTTTTATTTTTCCCTCCCTCCCTTCCTTTTTGATGTGTGTGAGTGTGTGGTACTAATGATTGAACCCGGGGTTTTCCTACACTATCCAAACCTTCTACCGCTAAAGTGTATCCCCAGTTTTTCCAACTTTTAATTCCAGCTTCAAACAACTTTTCTACTTTTCTTTTCAATTTCTGGATTTTGTTCTTGAGTTTTGTTTTGTTTCATCGTGACAAAGATACCATCATCAATCACTCCTCCTCCTCTCCCTCACTCACAACTCCGAGCAGTACATCGGCTTATTTGTTTGTAGGGACTATTATAAAAGTTAATTCTTCAAAATTAAATTTTTAAATTAAGAAATTGTTTTCAAGCTCAGCATGTTGATGCATGTCTGTAATCCTAGCACTTAGGAGGCTAACTAAGGCCAGAGGATTGCCAGGAGTTCATGGCCAACTCGAGCTACATGACAAGACCCTGTTTCCAAGACAAGAAAAGACTGTCTGATATTTTAATCTGATGGTCATTTTGGCAGATTCCTTATATGAAGATGTGTTGTGATTAATAGTTATTTCATTTTCTGGAATACAGAATATCTAAATCCCATATTTATTTTATGAGCTGGCTCTTACTTTCTTGTCTCCGCCATCCATCTCAAGGTTCTTGCGGTCTAACAAGTTGGAAAATATTCTTCAAAACCTGTGAAATTACTGACTTCAGGGTAAAAAAAAAAAATAACCACATGTTAGCAATTTCACAACCAAACAATAAGATATTTAGAACAGATAGGTTAACTTTTCATCCCAGCTCTTCTCAGGCTATAAGAACAGGAGACTACATAAGCTCTTAGGTCACCTGAAGAGCTGCTTCTTCGGCATGTTGCTGAATTCATGTTCTTAAAGATATTTTGTCATTTTGAAGCAAATGCCTTTAAGAACACTTAAGTTACATAAAGTTTTCACTAAGTTTAATTTTCAAGCTTTTATAAGCTAACACAGTGTCATAATGTCAAAGGAATAATCAATAAATACCTTTTAGAGGCAGAATAATCCCCCGGAGTGATATATACTCTATTTTTGCTAAATACTGAATTTTATTCCCATGATGGACACTCTAAAATAATGAATGCCATGTTACACAGTCAACACATTTTCTGTAAGCTTTCATTTAAAGATTTTCTTTATACTTACATTTCTGGTTATAAGAACAAAAATATATGAATATAAACATACATGCAAGAATATGAAACTCTCCTTTAATCCCAGCACTCGGGAGGCAGAGGCAGGCGGATCTCTGTGAGTTCAAGGCCAGCCTAGTCTACAAGAGCTAGTTCCAGGACAGGAACCAAAGCTACAGAGAAACCCTGTCTCAAAAAAAATAAAAAATAAATAAATATATATATATATATATATATATATATATATATATATGAAACTCTCATTCAGGAAATCCCCAGTTTTATGATCCAAAAAGTATTGCCGGGCAGTGGTGGCTCACGCCTTTAATCCCAGCACTCGGGAGGCAGAGGCAGGCGGATCTCTGTGAGTTCGAGGCCAGCCTGGTCTACAAGAGCTAGTTCCAGGACAGGCCCAAAGCTACAGAGAAACCCTGTCTCGGGAAAAAAAAAAAAAGTATAAATTAGGTTGTTTCAGACTCAGACTAAATTGTCCCATATTGTTGTGAATAGTTAAGATTACTGGTAGAAATTGTTGTTCAGTGCCCAGCATACTCTGGAGTTGCCTGGGTGCCCTCAGTTTTGGTGCATTCTTAGGCTAGAGAAAGTCACTTGGATTCCAGTACAGACCTGGTACACTTCTTCCTAGGTGATCCCCTCAAGCGATGCCCTGACTGAGCCCCACTCTATCTGATCTGTCCTCAAATACACAGCCTGAAATCTCTCTACTTCCCTCCTCGTCCCTGCTGTTCCAGTCAAGATGTCCAAGTACTTCAATTGTCAGGAAGAAGGAAACTTAGACAGTCCATATTAAATTGTTAGTGACTATATTCCTGTTATTTTGATTAAAGAGAAGTTTGCATTAACAACAAACACTTCAATCTTGGCAGCTCTATTCAATGATGGGAAATTTATAGGTAAACACTGTCCGTGCCTGCTCAACAAAAGACTTTCCCTATTTTTATTAACAATTTTCCATGGGATGTGAAGGCAGGAAAATACCCCTTTTTCATTATTCCAAAACTTACTTTTAAGTAACTGATACTTAGCAATTTAGTTTTTAAAATACTGTTCTGAATCAAATTGCTGAGTCGATTCTAAATTCTAAAACTAACCTTGTTTTATCGCATAAACATCTAGTTGGAAAGTGTTTGTGATGAAGATTTGTATCTTGTGGCATTAGTTCTTGTTTCTTCTCCATACGTTGGCTAACACTGCTGATGTCCAGATGAGTGGACATTCGCTGTGGTGGGGTCTGTGTAGGGCGAGCACACCCCGCTCGAGCATGGGCTGTACTTCACGGTGGCCGGGTGTGCTCTGCGCTCTACTGTTGTAGATTTATTTTGTTTACAGTAGACTGATGTCAGTTTTGTAAATGTTTTTCTTAGCACTTTAACTGTGAGTGTAAAAACTGATTTTAAATGTAGTGGCTGTATATTTTGGTTATAAACTGGAAATTTTTAATAAAACTAAATAATTTGTTCTCTTTTCTGTCGTTAGTATATTATTGAGTATAATTTCCTATGTCATCGTCCAGTCTCAGTCTAACAGATTTTACTACTTCTTTAAAAGTTAGATTTCCAAGAGCTGGAGAGATGACCCTGCGGTGAAAAGTACCGGCTGCTCTTGCAGAGGGCACAGGTTCAGTTCCCAGCAAACATGTGGAATGCACAACCATCTGTAACGCCAGTTTCAGAGGCTCCAACCCCCTCTCTGACCTCTGTGGTCACTGCGTATGCGTATGGTACACAGGCATACATGCAGGCAGAACACCCATACACATGCAACTAAATATAGCTTTGAAAAATAAGCTCCATAATTCTTTTTTACAGTATTTCTATTTATGATTGTGTGAGCAACATTAGCCTGGGATTTAGAAATATATAAACACACAATGTCTATTGGAAGAATGATCTGTGATAACCATTCAATTCCGATAAGTGAATTTAAGTATTTAGCCAACAAAAGTAGAAGAACAGATAGCAAGCAGAGAAACATCTATAGTGGTATTTTATTTGTGTTATAATAAATAAAGCTTGCCTGGAGGTCAGAGGGCAAAGCAGCCATACTAGTTAGTCATACAGGCCAGGGTGGTGGCACACTCGGAAGGAAGCTGCGATGGATCTCTGTTAGTTCAGGGCCACCCTTGGCTACACAAGATTGAATCTGACTAAAAGAAAAACAGCTCACACAAAGGTAATCCCAGCAATAGGGAGGTGGAGACAGGAGCAATATGCCTGGGCAGAGAGAAGAATGTCGGAGGAAGAGACAGGAGCTCAGTGGAATGTGGGGTGTGGAGTCTTCAGAATTTGTGGATCTTGCCCATTTTCAGTCTGAGATAGAGGTTAGAGTCGGTGGCTGGTTGCTTTGCTTTTCTGATCTTCAGGCTGAACCCCAATATCTGTTTCTGGGTTTTTATTATTTATGCTACAGACATCAGTGTGGGAGCTTACAGCATCCAGCAGAAATGACAGTGGAGGTCTTGCATCACGAGGTGTTCTCAATGAAGAGACAAGCAGAGCTGTCTCTCCATGGCAGTACATGAAGTTTACCAGTGCAGTTTATATTACACTATCTATCACAGTGCAGTTTATATTACACTGTCTATCACCGTGCAGTTTATATTACACTGTCTATCACAGTGCAGTTTATATTACACTATCACAGTGCAGTTTATATTACACTGTCTCTATCACAGTGCAGTTTATATTACACTGTCTATCACAGTGCAGTTTATATTACACTGTCTCTATCACAGTGCAGTTTATATTACACTGTCTATCACAGTGCAGTTTATATTACACTGTCTCTATCACAGTGCAGTTTATATTACACTATCTATCACAGTGCAGTTTATATTACACTATCTCTATCACAGTGCAGTTTATATTACACTATCACAGTGCAGTTTATATTACACTATCACCCTGCAGTTTATATTACACTGTCTATCACAGTGCAGTTTATATTACACTGTCTATCACAGTGCAGTTTATATTACACTGTCTATCACAGTGCAGTTTATATTACACTGTCTATCACAGTGCAGTTTATATTACACTATCACAGTGCAGTTTATATTACACTGTCTCTATCACAGTGCAGTTTATATTACACTGTCTCTATCATAGTGCAGTTTATATTACACTATCTATCATGTGCCTCATGAAGTCTTGAGTTCATATCCTGAAGAAATTTTCTTTGTTTATTCCCCAAATAGCTTATACCAACACATAAACTGAGCGGGAAAATACACCAGACCTGTCTCCTAGGTAACCAGGTGAATGGTGTTTTGTCACGTCTGCATCTACCTGTCTGCTGTGTATGTAGCTGTCACGTAGGCTTGAATCAGCATCTCTAGACGGCATCCTCCAAATTACAAAGAAAGGAGCAACAACATCCTGACCCTTTTTTAGGGCAGAGACAGCCTGTCTGCAAGGCTATGTGACCACCTCAGGTGAGGCCTATGGCTTCAGAGTGAACACCTTAAATTTAGCAAACATAAAACACTTAATAAAAAAAATAATAAATAATAAACACTCCATCGTAAGTGTTTTGTTTAGAAGTGAACTGATGGGATATTAAGAATTACTGGTTTCACATGCCTGGTGCACAGCAGAAAGTCAAATGGGCTGGAGAGATGGCTCGGCGGTTAAGAGCACTGGCTGCTCTCCCAGAAGACCCGGGTTCAATTCCCTGCACCCACATGGCAACTCACAACTGTTTGTAACTCCAGTTCCAGGGGATCTGACACTCTCACACAGACAGAAATGCTGGCAAAACACCAATACACATAAAATAAAAATAATTAAAAAAAATACAGCGTTTCAACAACAGATAAATATACATACCTACATAGTTATTGAATGGACAGTTAGAGCTCTCAATCATTGAAAAGCGTTTCAAAGTAAATTTAGAATTAAAAGGACAGAGAGGAGAACACAGTGTGCAACCCTTTGCTGATTCAATAAAACCCGAGGTGGGTGGCTATTCTGTGATAGTCACGTCAGAGGTGTTTGGCGAAGGACAACTACAGGAAGTTGCAGGGAGAACAGGGCAAGTCTTGCTTGCAGAAACGGTTTGGATCTAGGAAGTCTTCCTAGGAAAGAATTCTCCTGTAGCTGTAAAACAGAACCAATGGCAAAGGGACATTTTACACTCAACTTACAGGAAGCCTTTCATCACAAAGTGGAACCAAGGCCTTGCGGAGCAGTGGGACACTGACATCATCCAATCCAAGGCTGGGAGGCAGTTGAACTTTAGGATTTCATTTTTTTTTAATATTTATTTATTATGTATACAATATTCTGTCTGTGTGTATGTCTGCAGGCCAGAAGAGGGCACCAGACCTCATTACAGATGGTTGTGAGCCACCATGTGGTTGCCGGGAATTGAACTCAGGACCTTTGGAAGAGCAGGCAATGCTCTTAACCACTGAGCCATCTCTCCAGCCCCTAGGATTTCATTTTTAAATAGAACTCACCTGTGACTGCTGGGCAGGTGCCATGCTAATCTCTTTACTGTTCTGATTTTAGTGTGTTCCTGAAATGAGTACAGACCTGTGATTTCTTTTTAAGACTGGTACTGTGGGCTGGGCGGTGGTGGCATATACCTTTAATCCCAGCACTCGGGAGGCAGAGGCAGGCTGATCTCTGGGAGTTCGAGGCCAGCCTGGTCTACAAGAGCTAGTTCCGGGATGGGCACCAAAGCTACAGAGAAACCCTGTCTCGAAAAACCAAAAAAAAAAGAGAGAGAGAGAGACTGGTACTTAGGTGGCCTGGAACCATGTAGACCAGGCTGGCATCAAATTCACAGAGATTCTCCCACTACTGTCTTCCGCATGTGAGATTGGATCTTATGATTTCTAAGGTCTCTTTTAACTACCAGAGGGACCTTACGTCATGGTTTGCCTTCCCGTGTTTGAAAACAAATCCACAGAAGAAATTATCCACTTATGAGAAAACTGTTGGGTGTGTTTCTCAACCAGTATTTACTGAGCCTCTATTATACTGCAATAGATACAACAATGAGCAAAGGTACATATAATGTCTACACTGATAAAAATAAGAGAGAAAATAATATGATAGAAGGTATTGTAATAGAAACTGC